TAAATGATATATTTTAAAGTTTGCAACTCCATTTAGATTTACCTAAAAAATATTTAATAGTGCTCAGTAAATAGAAATTATTATTACAATGCTGACCATGGACTATTAAATTTGATATTTTATGAGGCAGCATAGTAAAAAGCTAGGAAAATTCCTTGGCAAGTGGAATGAGGGAAACTAAGACAAAATAGTTAACAAGGCTGAGCAGTGAACAGCCTGCTAATAAATCACAAGATCTTATCTTCTCTAACCAAGGCCATTTAGGAGCAAATAGTTAATAGATCTTCCCAGCTAGTAAGTAAGTATCATAAATCCCCCTGATCAAGAAGATAGATAACAGAGACCCAATTAATGTCATTTGTGCTAGCAAAACCCCAGGACAGATGAAGTCCCAGGGGAATAAATAATAATAATAATAATAATAATAATAATAATAATAATAATAAACAATTAGAGCCAGACAAATCCAAGATAAAAAGTAAAACAGTAAAGCTGACCAGAGAATAATTCCAAACTCCTCTATATATTCATTTTGATGCATCAGGAAAGCTGTTGAATATTCTATTGAGACTCTCCCCTGAAACCTCCCTAAAACTTCAGCTTATAGAAAACAGATAAGAATCTTCAAGACAAAGACCCTGTACATACTTCCTTTTGAGTGTGCCCACATCACCTTTCCTCTGGTGTGTACTTTTGCTTTCTTTCTCTTAAGGTCCCCAGAAGACATGCTACTGGGGGAGCAGCAGGCAGTGGTAGCTTGTGCTAGACTAACCCCCTGAAACTATCTCCCAGAGCCCTCCTTTCCTCTGTCACTTGTTTCCTGAGTCCACGCAGCCCAATGTGGCTCACTCCTGTTGCTGTGATCCTGCTGCATCTGTCTTAAGCCCTTCCTTTGATTTGCTGTCCCCAGTTTTAATAAACATACTCTCAAAATCACATGGATTCATTTCTTCCACAAAGTTAAGAACCCTCACATTCCAGACATGCCAGAGCAGACCTGCCTCAGTCCCCGTCCTTTTCTGGTGACATTTTGACTGCTCCTTCTAATATCTATATTCATCTCTGCATAGTCATCACTTAAAACCTCTGGGGGAAAAAACCCTTTTTGCAATGGTAGGTGCTCAATCAATATTTATAGAGTGGATTATCAGAATGGACTGGTGAATTATGGGGAGAGATAAGTAGATAGAAGAAAAGAAAAATGCTGAGATTGTTCATATTGACTCTAAGGTGGAGAAACACCCTAGAATGGTCAATCAGAGAAGACAAAATGTATGCTTATAATATGTCTCTTATTTACTTATTTGGGACTCTCTATTAGAGTTTGGACATGCCTTACTGTCCCATGTCCTCACCAATAGGCAGTGGAGTAGTTAAAAGTTCAGTTTCTAGAAATAAACTTTTCAAAATCTGGCTTTGCCAAAACTATATTCACCATAAAGTCAATGACATGAACCTCAAGACCCTTCACAGCCTCTTCCAATGTCCTATATTTGTATTTCGTATTTGTAAGTTTGTAAAAGTTTGTGGAAAAGGTTCCTAATATTATAAAACAAAAATATCAGATTCCACAAAACTGGGATCCAAAGTTAGCTCCACCCATTACTGACTATGCGACCTGGGCTCAACATATTTATCTACTATGTGCCTCCATTTCCCCATTTTTTATATATTTCTTTATTGATTAAGGTATTACATATGTGTCCTTATCCCCCCTCATTACTCTCCTATTCCCCCCGCCACTCATGGCCTCACCCCCCTGTTGTCTGTGTCCATTGGTTAGGCTTATATGCATGCATATAAGACCTTTGGTTGATCTCTTCCCTTTACCCCCATCCTCTCCTACCTTCCCTCTAAGGTTTGATGGTCTGATCGATATTTCTCTGTCTCTGGATCTGTTTTTGTTCATCAGTTTATGTTGTTCATTATATTCCATAAATGAATGAGATCATGTGGTATTTATCTTTTTCTGATTGGCTTATTTCACTTAGTATATTGCTCGCTAGTTCCATCCATGACAAAACTGACAACCTACTTCATTGGGGTTGTTTTGAAGATTCTGTTCATACATGTAAAATCTTTAGCACAGTGTTATTCACATATGTGTAATCAATGCATGTTGGCTTGTATAACTTACTTTTTTTGTTATCATTCCTTATATTCCTTTCTCATGAGCCCTGTCATGTCTAGAATCACCTTTCTCTTTGTAAATTTAGCCTAGCAAGTATCTCCTGTAGTTTTAATCCCTTCCTCTTGCATCTTTTCCATGAGCCTCCTAGGTTGTTTACAATCTCATTTTATCAACCTCTATTTGATTTCTTAAACCTAGTAATCTTTTTCTTAATGCTTATCCAAGGACATGCTTAGAGAAAGGAAGAAAGAGGTATGATGAAGGAAGGAGAGAGGGAGAGAGAGAGAGAAGGAAAGAAGGAAAAAAGGAGAAAGGGAGAGAGAAAGAGTGAGAGAGAAAGAAATCTATCAATTGCCTCCATACGTTTCCCAGCTGGGGATCAAACCCACAACTCAGATATGTGCTCTGAACAGGAATCAAACCAGCAACTTTTAGGTTCATGGAATGATACACAACCAACTGAGACCTTATTTACTCATTTGGAACTCTCTCTTTTAAATGGAACATGCTCCATTAAAGAGAGAGTCCCAAATGAGTAAATATGTCTGCTCAAACATAGTAATCTTCCTTACTTAAAGGAAATCACAATTTTTGTTTTCTTTGTTTCTGGGTGCCATCTGCTAGATTGGTTTTCTAAATAATAACATGGGAAAGAAGAGACCATTATCCTTAAACTTTTGTCATAAATAACATTCTGAAATTATTCCTACATACCATCTACAGCTACTTCAATCCTATCTTACCTCTGAAATATTGACCTTTTCGGATACATTCAGCCCCACGAATATTGACATCTTTGTGTAAACTGCAAAACAGAGTTGGGACATGTGGATTTTTGCCTGGTGGATTTGCCTAGTTCCTGACATGAGGCTAAACTCAGCAAAAATGTATAATAATACATGTGACTTCAAGGTTTGGCTGATACTGTTCATCTCCAAATAGATATTCTATGCAGTTTGTGTAGTAAATATGTTGCAGTGATTTATTGTTGTTTTTTTTAGCCCTCAAACCATACCGCTTTCTAGAATAATATCCATTGTTGTTTAAATCAGAATTATTTAACCAATGTCTGAAAATATTTAAATAAGCTCAATATACTCAAGAGTTCTAAATTCAAACATACATGATGGAGTTAAAAATAAAAGAGTATGGTCTTTCATACTGGCCCTTAAGACATTCTTACCTTGGGAATATGCTGGAAGTATGTCCTCAAGAATGGGGCTATGCCTGCAAAGGAGTTCAAGTCCAGCAAAGAGCCCTTCCTGGATTTTCCCAGGCGAATACTTCTGAAATTCTTTCACCTTACTTCTTCATTAATCTCAGCTAGCGTGTCCCTCTGATGGAAAATATTCAACTAAGTAAGTAAAAGAGCAGGTGTAAAGAAAATTACAATGTGGGAGAATGTTTATAAAGGAGGGTCATCGTGACCAGGGCGAGGTAAAATGAAAGCATCATCTTGAGTACATGGAATAGAAACAAAGGAGAAAGGAAGTGATCACGAGAATTGCTGGTTATAAATAAGGAATGACATGAATTATGTCAAGTTCAAAGGAATAAGTAGAGAAGTGCAAGAGTAGAATAAGCAGCAGAGCTATTTAGAAAGAAGCATACATCTAAATTTCAATTTTGAATTGTGCCTATGGCAATATACATATGTAACTCCCAGAACTCTGATTTTCCACATCTACACAAGAGAGGATCTTCCCAGTCTGCCATCTGCCATGCAAAGAACAGGAAAAAATGTTCACAATATCACACATCAAAGGTTAAGGAATAGATTTAATTGATTAAAGAGAAATATCACAATACCTGTGTCAGAAAGATTAAATCACCTCCTCTCCTCCATTCCAGGGAAAGAAATTCCAGGATCAGAGAAATTTTCTGGACACAAATATTTTTGTGATTAAACCCATTTTTATTTCACGGATAATGGCAATGTCCTTCAGATGCCAAGATCCCCAACTAGCCAAAGTCCCCAGTACAGGGCAATACCATCACGTGAGACAGTTCCTGTAAATGGTTGGCATCCCCGAATTAGATCTCCCAACACTCAGTAGTTTGCTTATTTAACTACTGACATGACCACTTTTTAAAAATATATATATATTATATTGTTGTTGTTTTTTACAGAGAGGAAGGAAAAGAGATAGAGTTTGAAACATTGATCAGCTGCCTTCTACCCACCCCCTACTGGGGATGTGCCTGCAATCAAGGTATATGCCCTTGATCAGAATCAAACTGGGATCCTTCAGTCCACAGGCCAATGATTTATCCACTGAGCCAAATTGGTTAGGGTGACATGACCACTTTTTTAATACTTGTCTCACAGCACAAGGCACATAGCAAGACTCAAAGTGAGGTTTCCCTCCTTTAGAATAGAACCCAGTGCTATGGCCTCAATTCTCCATCATCCAGAGAAGCTCATCTCTAGTTTCGCTGCATGGTAGGTTGTGACCCTTAGGGAAGCCTTGGTCACCCTTGCACCCTGACACTTTTATTTTAGCATATCCTCTTGAATTAATATAAGGGAATCAAGCAAATGTGTCCTAAAGCTGCGATCTGAAATCTGCTTCCATAGCTGAGTTCTTTTGCCTCCAGAGACTAAGGAAGGAAGGACTGAAGCTAAGGCTATATACTGCTGGATAGACAGGTGTATAATGATGAGGGATAAGAATTCCAAGATTGTTGTCTTTTTTCATATAAAAACAAACTAGTTCAACAAGGAAAGATCATGAGTGAAAAGGGTAATAGGGTGATTAGTCACGTGAGTCTGCATGGCAGCTCTCCCATTCCCTTAATCTGCTTATAAAGAGTGTGCTGGGCACCTGAACCCTACTTCTCCAGAGCATCAGACTCTGTCTCTTCCAGCATGTACTCTCTCCAGCTCCTGCTCAGGGCCAGCCATGCTGCCCTGCTCCTGGTTCTCTGTCTGCAGCTGGGGATCAACAATGCTCAGGAAGACAAGTGAGCCAAGCCTTTCTCCTTAAAAAAAAATCTTTTTGGGGGGAGGGCTTTTTTCTTATCCTAGAAATCTACATATCCCTTCCTGAAAACTTTTTCAACTTTCCAGAAATCTAATCCTAGAAGCTCTCATGAACTCATACCAATCCCACCTCTCTCTTCTTAGGAACTCCATCAATTCCCCTCACATTTCCCCTGGGTGCTTCTAAGTTGCCCATGCAAATAAGGCTCCCAGTGCACTTATAGGCTATAATTAATAATCAGTCTTTCTCTATGGTTCTGGCCTACATGTTGTCCATAGTCTATACCTTTATTAGATTTCTGCTCAGTGAATTTCACCTTCTCACATTTTACCTCCTAGAAGAGAGGGTTTAGCAGGACTGTGAGTTGCAACAATAGCTTTGGACACCTTTGGCAGAACTCACTGAATGATCAGAAGCCCTGGACACTGATCCTCGGCCACACAGTCGAAGGTTGAGCTTGCCCAGCACTTTAGACATTCTTCCTGTGCTGAAGCCTGAAGACAAATGTGAGGACCACTTGCCCATGACTCCCCACTTCACCCCCCCCTAGCCCATCTCCCACTGGGACCTGAGAGAATGGGTTCAGAAGCCAACTCATTAAGGGCACATGTTTGAAGGAAAATTGGGACACACAAAATGAATTAGGAAATGGGACAGTTTGGAAGGAGAAGCATGGACGCTTGTAAGATCTAGGGATTTTTCCCTACAGGAAAAGTGTTTAGAATGTAGAGTTTCTGGATTGTGATTCTGGTTGTACCCTCTGTGGAAGGACCAGATGCCTTCCCTGGAGGAAACCTGTCAGCGTTTTGACAACCTGATGTAATGGAGGTGGATGGGTATCTAAGAAACCCTAAGTGGGGATGGGTTCAGATATAGATGTCACTCCACTTAGCCCTGAGGGGCAGCAGTTGTTGATAAGCTGTGCTACTTAGGGTGATCAACTATCCAAGTTTGCCCATGAATAGCTTGATTTTAGCACTGAAAGCCCTTCCCAGCAAACCCCTCGCTGTCAGCAAACAGGGATGATTAGTCTCTCTAGCTGTGCTGGTCATCCTGTCAATCTTAAATACATTCACAAATGGGAGAAATTCTGAAGAAACTGAAGGACGTGTGCCCCTTCCCTGTGTAGTGAGTGCTAGAGCAGCTGGCACAAGAAATGGAATCTCTCTGGAATCTGATGCTTTCTCCTAGGAAAATGGGGCTGGGAAGTACTGGAGGCCAGGAAACTGAATTCCCTCCTGTCTCACCCAACACTGAAGGTGCTTTGGCAGGAGTTTCCAGGAAAGAGAAAGTAACTCTGCTGGTCCTGAGCCCCCTCCTCACTGACTGAAGGGAAACACTTGACTATTCTCTTTGTCTCCATGTCCTTTTCCCCAGAAGATTGTGGTGTGTGGCCTGAATGTAAGGTGGAAGCTGTAGTTTCCAATATGGCATTGTGTCCAAATCCCCTACAAAACTAAGTACTAAGTACAAATCCTAGTCCCCACCAAGAACCAAAGAAGGAGGATCTTCAAGAAAGGCCTCACTTCCAGTGCACTGAGGTGTTTATGATTCGTTAATATGAAATTTAATACTAATTTTATTATGACATAAGCCCTCCCTGACAGTGGATAATCAGCAGAACCTATAGAGTTTTATTAGGAAATGTGATACTGTACTTTCATTGTTTTTGTTTTTGTTTGTTATTTGTCAGTGGAAGAGAAGAAGATACTCAGTTTTAAATAACATGTCAAAATTGCTTTATTAAGTAAAACTAAATCAGTACAAATAGCCAAACTAACCAAAAAAATCAAAACTCCCCAGGGAATTCTGGTCTCAGCAGCTGACCATCTCCTTCCCTTCGAACCTTCCCTGGTCCCTACTCATTGTCCCCCTTCTCTCATGGATTAATTTTTGCTCCCTACCAGCTTTTGTCTTCCCAAAACCAGTCGACAGTTGATCAAAATGGATTTTAAATTGCCCCAAACAACAAGAGCAAATGAAGAAGTCACTGCAATGCTTAAAGTTGGAACAGAATTGAGAGAATGTATGGTGGTAAGTAGAAGCCCTGGGGTGGGAGTAAAGTGAATAAAATCCAACTTCTTAATTAAGTAAAATGCATTAGATGACATAGGAAAACTACCAGATTAAAGGGCAGTGATAAAATTATTAAAAAATAAATATATAATACAGTAATACATGTTTTGTTATTTATACATTAGCTGCAAACATTCACAACAGAATAGTTAAATTTTAGTTTATAAAGATTACCTATATGATGATTATGGTTGCTTAGCCTATTGCTGGGTGTGAAAGCCAATACCAGACATTATTGCCAGAACCGTGACCAAGTCCCAATTCCTAGAGCCTTTGCTATTAAGTACCTTCAATATTTGACAACAAATCACACATATCCAATGGGTCCTAATTTTTTTGTTTTAATTATACAAGTATTGAAAGTTCTGAATCATGAAGATATAGTGTTATAAATGTAATAAAAATATAAACAAGGCAAGGTTAGCCTTTTCAAAAGAAACACCAGGATATCCAAAGTATTTTTGAGTAAAATTGCAATGGTGAGAACACTTGAACTCACTGTTTGGGGCTGATGGGCTATTTGTGCAGAGTTACCACTGGTTGCCTATCTCCCAATACTGGGCAGGTATTGGGAGATAGGCAACCAGTCCCAGCCACAACCATGCAGCCTGGTGATAACTCCTGCCCCTGTGTTCAGGGTAGCTATAAGGGCAGGCACTCTTCTGACATATGTAAATCTCTAATGTAGCATGAACAAATCTGTTTCTCCTTGTGATAAAAATCACTCACTTCTAATGCCACTGTGGGTAGTTGGTGACATTCACAGCAGAAGGAATGCTCAATTTCGATGGGAACTTAGGAAAATAAACATATAATTTCTTTCCACAAACTGACTAAATTCTATTTATAGACTCCTTGGATCTATGGTCCTCAGGTTTAACCCCCTGTGCTGACCATGAACTAGAACATTAACCTGACTCTGCTGAAACACCTATATAGTGCTTTGGGTTCTTAAACTGTACAGCAAGCATGTCAAACTCAAAGGCTAACATGGGCCAAATAAATAAGGTATGTGGCCCATGGGCTGTGAGTTTGACATGTTTGCTGTACAGTAGGCTCAAGTTAGGAAAGAGAAGAGTAAGTTTACCTTCAAGATTGCATTTGCTTATCTAACAGCATATTGGGTGGGTAGTTGCGGTCCTCTCACAACTGAGGAAAGTGGTGTGTGGCCTGAATGTAAAGTGGAATCTGTAGCCAGTAAGATCAGGCCACAGGCAACATTCTCAAGACACTAAACCATTTTTGCTTTGATGGGTATCACTGCCATATTGTTAGGGCAGATATTAAATTCACAAATGATGTCAACCACTGCCTATAAGGCCACAGTACTTATTGCTTAGCCTGATCAAGTACCATATTAGCTTAAGTACCTTAAGTCACCCAGGGGATTCTTTACTTACTAAAGATCCCAGAGTTTGAGAGGAGCACAGCTGGGACTTGGTCATGGTTCTGGCAATAAGGCCTGGTTTTGGCTTTCACACCCTAGCAGTCAGACTGCCGCCACAGACCCATTCCTGGAGCCCTTGCTATGAACCAAGGCAAACCTAACCCTCTCCCCGACATGAACTGCTGCCCAGATGAGTGCTCTTGACTCTGCAGTTCACTTACCTCCACCTTCCCGAACCCTACACCCACATGCTAATGCAGGAATAGAAGTACATGAGGACAGAAAATCTTCTAACCTTGATTTCAGCTCCTGAGATGATACTACAAAAATGGACTCTCTCATGCCTTTCCCCACATCCACCCCTGCTCTTTGCCCAATAAGAACATCCTGCTCTCTCCCTCAATCCTCTCTTGTCTTTCTCCCCCTTCCCTATTCCCCATACCAACTCTGAGTCATCTCTCTCCAACTCTTCCTTCACAGATTAAAACTTACCTGGTAAGCAACCCTCCAGTTGATGGGCCTTTAAATTACAAATACACTACCTGCCTGTGTGAGGAATATCCAAGAACCTTCTTCTGGGACTTTCAGGTCAACAGTAAGTAGAGGAGTCATCCAAGGGAAGAGCTACCCACCTGAGAGGAAAAACCATAGAAAAATGAGGTTATGGATCAGGAACAGAGCCCGCAGCAGAAGGATGGAGGGGGTGGGGTGGGGAGAAGGATAACAACAAGCAGAGTCGAAGGAGACCATTGCCAAGTTCAAAAGGTGAGGGGTTGTGTGAGAAAAGCTAATAAGGGAGATTCATTTGTAAACAATTTGAGGAAGCTGAGTCCCAGTTAGGGAGATGTCTGATACTGGTAGAAAAGATAGGACCCTGGGGATGAGAATGTTAAGCTATGATCTTTGTCCCTATCCTTTTCAGGTACTGTGAGAATTAAAGCAGTGGTTGACGTCGTTGGTGAATTTGACATCTGCCCTGACAACCTGGCAGTGACACCCATCAAAGCAAACCACTTTAGTGTCTTCAAAATGCTGCCTGTGGCCTGATCTTACTGAAAGCCTTGTCTCACTACCCCCCTACCACACCCCAAAGTGGCTTCCTCTAAGGACGTGGCCAGGTGTGTGTTGTGGTCTGTAAAATAAACTTCCCTCAGCTTCTCTATGTTCTGCCGTGTCTTCCTGCCCAAATCTCTGCCTGAGGAGCTTCAGAGTGCACAGGATTTCTATAACTTCTTTCCTTCAAAGAGCCTTTGCTGAGGCGATCTTGTAGGTTCTCACTGCCCATGAAGAGTGAGAGAAGGCAGATGGAGAAGAGTGGGGCCATTCTCAGAGTGGAAAAGCATGGTCTAAAACTCATAGTAAGTGAGGGGCAGAAACTGGACCAGTGTCCAAGTTTCCCTGCTTCTTCACCTTCTATGTCCTGCTGTCCATCTAGGAGCCCCTTCAGATCATAGGAGATGGGAGTCAGCTGCATATTAGGATAGCAGTCAGTGGCAGAGTCTATATTCTATTCTTTTCAACTGGTGAAAAAGGATGGACTAAGTGGTGCTCAGAGAGATAGGGCAGCACAGGATGCACAGTAAGCTGAACAGCAGAGGGGGCCCTGTGGGGCCCCACCAAAGAGGGCCAGACAGTGCTTCCTGAGAGGAAATGTGAGCCAGGGTCACGGGCATAGAGTGAGCAGAGAGCTTTCTGGCAAATAGATTAGTAGGCACCAAAACCCCAAAGGCAGGTCAGCTCTTTGATGTTGGGTGGGATTAAGAGCAAGCCAGGTGGCCCAGAGAGGAGGCTGACAAGGGGACAGCACAACATCAGTTTGTAAGGCAAGGAGGTGGGGCATATCCTCAACATCACTGATCTTAAATGGGAATGAGATCCAGAGCAGGAAAACAGTCACTGGGAAATTTCACTTGATATTTTAAATAGAATAGTAACATTGATTATATGCCTAACATGTGACAAAATGCACTGATATTCTTGTTATTATCATATGCCCTATTAAAAATAACTATATATATATATATATATATATATATATATATATATATACACACACACACACACACACACAACACACATATTGGAATATTATTTAGCAATGAGAAAGAAGGAAATCCTTCTATTTCTAACATAGGTGAAACTTGAGGGTGTTATGCTAAATGAACTAAGTCAGACAGAGAAAGGCAAATACTGGAGAATATCAATTATAAATGAAATCTACAAAAACTGAACTCATAAAAAGAGTATAATCGTTACTGAGCTGGGTTGCAGGGGAATTGGGAAAATTTTAATCAGAAGGTATAAACTTCCAGTTATGCACAGGTTATAGAGGTTATAGTTGCTAAAAGATCTTAAATGTTCTCACCATAAAAAATAAATGGTAATTATGTGAAGTGATGAAGGTGTTAGCTAACCCTATTGTGATAAGCATTTTGGAACATATAAGTGTATCAAATCAACACATTATATACACTTTAACATTACAAAATGTTTTATGTCAATTATACCACAATAAAGCTGGTGAAAAGATTGACCAAAGAAAATACTATATGCACAGCCAATAGACACACACAATAGTGCGGTGATGGCCAGAGTGAGGGGATGAAGCTGATCTGAGGTGGGTAAAGGGGGAGAAATGAGGGACATCTGTAATAGTGTCAACAGTGAATGAATGAATGAATGAATGAATAAATAAATAAATAAATAAACAAACACAATTATTAAAATCACATGCATTAAGTATGTATTCATTTATTCATTCAATAAAAATCTATCAAGTGCCTACTGGGCCATTACCTGCTTTAGGTATTTGGTTTTACCAAAGGGAATCAGGAATTTCCCATCCTTATTCTATATAATAAAAGGCTAATATGCACATAGACTGAACAGCAGAATGATCAGTCACTATGATGTGCACTGACCACCAGGGGGCAGACACTAACACAGGAACTACCCCCTGGTGGTCAGTGTGTTCCCACAGAGGAGTGCGGCTCAGCCAGAAGCTGGGCTCACGGCTGGCTGCAAGAGCAGCGGCAGTGGCAGGAGCTTCTCCCACTTCCACCACAGTGCTAAGGATGTCCAACTGCCTGCGGGCCTAAGCTGTCAGTCAGACATCCCCTGAGGACTCCCAGACTGCGAGAGGGTGCAGGCCAGGCTGAGGGACCGCCCCATGTGCATAAATTTTGTGCCCAAGCCTCTAGTAAAGTTTATATTCTTCATGGGGATAGACAATAAATGAGTTAATTCTATTTTTAATTTCTATATGAGAAAAATGAGATGAGAGGAGATAAGTAATTTGCACATAGCCAGAGAATGGCAGAGCTAAAGTTTGAACTACACAGGCAGCCTGACACACAGGAAGGCCCTTGTTCCTACACTATACACACTACACTACACACACATTACACAATACAGACATGGCACTATAGTATGCACTACACATACACTACACACACACACGCACACACACTGCACTACCGCACACACTACACCATATACTAAACTACATACACACTACACTATACAGACATTGCACTATACTACACCCCACACACAATACACTATACACACACTGCACTATACACACACTACATACTATACTACATACACACTGCACTATAAACATTGCATTATACTACACAGTACATACAGACTACACTACACTACACACACTGCACTGCACTACATATACACTACACTACACATTACACACACTACATACACACTACATTCTACATACACTACATGTGCATACATATATGTGCACACACGTCCACCCACACGGTGCAATGTACATACAACACACACTACACAACATACACGCTACACAGATAGCACACTGCATACACACTACACTACACTACATACTATACACTACATTATATGCACACCACACAGATATTGGACTACACACAACACACACTATACTACACTTTACATTACATGCAAATACATGACACAGATGCTACACATTGTACTACACACATTACATACACTACACACAATCCACTACACCATATACTGCAAAAACATACCTCCCGCCAATCTCCAACAAAAAGCATTTCAAAATTGCCAATTTTAGCTTGTGTATTAATTTTGAGCACACCATTTTCTCCTACTATTTTCTTGTCCTCCAGTAAAACTAGAATTCTTTTGTTGTTGTTGTCAATCCTCGCCCGAGGATTTTTTCAAGGAAAGGGAGAGACAGAGAGAAACATTAATCTGAGAGAGACACATCAATTGGTTGCCTCCCACATGTGCCCGTGACAGGAATTGAAGCTAGGACCCTTCAGTCCAAGGGCTGATGCTCTATCCATTGAGCAAAATCAGCTAGAGTGTGGCTAGAATTCTTAATTGCTTATAGCACTGGCCAATAAAAATAGAAAAATATATTTTAAGTTACATGTGTGATATTGAATTTTCTGATAGCCACATTTAAAAAAGCTAAAAGAAACAGGTGAGATTAATTTGCCAATATATTTTATTTAGTCCAATATACCATAATGTCAAGATGTCCAATTTATTTCACTTGGCATAATACTCTCTTGGTCCATCCATGTTGTTTCAATGGTAAGATTTCTATGTATAATGACAAATGGTTAATAGGTTTATAATGGTGAGTGCTTCATAAAGTAAATACATTTTGAAACACTAGGTTGTACATCTGAAACTAATACAATATTGTATGTCAACTATAATTTAAACACATAAATAAATATAGCACTGGCTAGATGGCTCAGTTGGTTGGAGTGTCATCCCATTTATCAAAAAGGTTGCTGGTTTAATCCCTAGTCAGGGCATATACCGGAGACAACAAATGAATATTTCTCTCATATCGATGTTTCTGTCTCTCTCTCTCTTTCTCTCTCTCTCTCTCTCTCTCTCTCTCTCTCTCTCTTCCTCTCTCTCTTCCTCTCTTTCTAAAAATCAATATAAATATATCCTCAGATTATGACTAAATAAATAAATTAAATAAATATGGAAAAAAGATAAAAATTTGTAAATAAAAATAATGGTCAATTTTTTTAAAATATCTATACGCACACACAGGCCTTAACTGCAGTAGTCACACACACAGGAGGCCTCAATAAGGTTCATTCACAAACCCAGTTCAGGTGGTCTTATCACCACATTACTATCTCAACTCTGTGTCCTTGGGCAGCTTCTAAAACAAGAAAAGCTTCTAAAACAGAGTATTGTTCTGAGCATGAGGAAGGAACAAAAGAACCTCCGATTGCCCAGGTGCAGCTCATGGGTCAGACTGGCACTCACATCTTCTTTATGACCTTCCCCAACACCTTCATACCTCACTCTACTCCTAATTAAAATTCCAGATGAATGTTGATTTTTCTCACAGAAATACAAACAGGGTAGTAATGAGAAGTATCCCAAGCTATGATGATTTTGGCTGAGTGGACCTATTGATCTTGCTACACTAATAAAGACCGATCCTGGCTCCTGGATACACAGTATTCCTGGTGTCAAGATCTTCCAGTATGTGTGCTCTTCAGCTTCTATTCAAAGGTGGCCCTGCTATCCTACTTCTGGTTCTCTGCCTGAGACTGGGTCCAGCACAACTCAAAAAGCAAAGTAAGTCACCTCTCTCTTACCTACAGAAAATGTTCCAGGAAAGATAATTCTCCTAATCAAAAAATCCACATTCTGTGTTTCCTGCCCTAAAATTACCCACCCTGGGAGTACTCACTATATGTGTCTCTTGGTCTCTTTCCCTATTTAGAACCCATTGTGGAAATTATTGAATCCATGACCTACTGCTTCTTTGAGTTTTTACTCAGTTTCTATCCTGAGTTTATCATTTTCATCTTTTTCTCCTAAAAAAAGAAGCATAGGCAGGGATGTGGGTTTGGTCAATAACTGTGGGATAAGCTTTGGATTAGATATATGTGCTGCACAGGAGGGGACCATAGCCCTGGTCACTACCTAGTACAAGGGGTTGTGATGATCTACCAACTCAGATGATCCCTGTGGCTTCATTGGCAGTAATGCTCTTCTATTCATTAAGATCTGACCCATATTCTAGAGTTCAG